ACTTGATGACTTGCAAAACACCCACAGGTCCTTGACCTGTGGAGTAAGAGCTACCATGGTGGGAAAATGTCAAGTGGAAACAAGAAAACTGTATCTCACTGCCTTCCAAGTAGCAAATCAAAAATAACAGTGTGTTCCTAATGAATAACAACTTTTCTACCCTTAAAAGCTTAAACTTTTAAACTCTGAAAACTTGCCAAGATCCCCAAACAAATAAATAAATAAAAGCTTAAAGTACACCGGGGTCATACGCTCCAGTATGTCTCCATCTAATTGTTTGCAGGGCCAGACTTAATTCCATTTGAGTCTGGCCCTGAAGATAGTTGACTGATTGTCTTAGTCTGTTCAGCGTTGCTATAATGGAATACGTGAGGCTAAGTAATTTATTTAAAAAAAAAAAAAAAGAGGTTTATTTAGCACCCAGTTATGTGGGTTAGAAAGTTCAAGGGTCTTACCACGGCTCCTGGCAAGGGCTTTCATGCTGTGTCCTAAATGACAGAGAAGGAAAAAGGGAAAGTGGATATGTTTGAAGAAACAAAACCAACAGGCATCCTGGGTTTGTAACATCCACCTCAGCTCCAGAGCTCCCCATAGCTTGGCCTTTGCTGTAACTGTACCAAAGTTCCACTTCTCCCTATGCCCAATCCTGTTCCTCCACTTTCCTCAGTAAATTTCATGCCCACAAACCTCAGACTCAGAGTTTGTTTCACAGTTGGCATGGCCAGTAGATTCCCTATAATGCTGGAGTGAAGTGAAATTATACAAACTGAAAACCCCAAAATATGTATTTCCTATAGAGAAGGGGAAGATCTGTTAACAGGTTCTATCCGTGTGTCTCACTACGAAACTTCTTTAAGGAATTCCTGCCATGATTCTAGACACAAGGACCAGCTGTTGTGCATTAGAGCATATTCTGGGTCCTACTGGAAGAAAAGGAGCAAGGAACTAAGATTGTGAGGTGTATTGTGGTCCTGTGCTTTTCCATCCACCTGATGCCTTCACTTCCTTCACCACAGTGATCACATGGCTCTGGAGAACTGACCAATCACGTTATTTTGAAGATCATGCCATGAAGTCCTAAATCCAGCTGTACTGTTTTCTACTCCAGGATTTGACAGTCACTTAAACCAGGAAGTTCCTCACTTTGCTTAAGGTATTTTGCTTGCTGTCCCTTGCAACTAAGAGAATCCTAACACAGGTCTGCCTGTAGCCCTGGGAATACATAGACAGTTGAGACTAATGAAGCCTCTAACAGGTTCATTTCTTATATTTTGAAATTGACAGATCACTAAAGCCACCCCTTTCTTTCTACACTTTTCTTAATATCATACATCTGCCAGGCTTCTTGTGTTAAGAGTCTGGGCGTATGTTCTTGATGGATAGCCTTGATGAGCCTTCCCCATACCCCTTCCTGAGCTCAGCCTTGTAGAGCAGTAGTCTGAAGTGTGAGCCCCCTAAAAGGATGTTTAATCAATGATCTATAGGCATTTATCAGAGCACGGTTCTCCTGTTGCCCTGTGAAGTGACAGGGCTTTGGGGAAGGTGCTGAGGGCTGCAGTGGACCCCTCCCCACAGGCTACAGAGGTACGGAAGAACAGAATCTTCAGCATCTGTGTTTGAGGAAAACACAGAAACTTCTTGCTATATTCCCCTCAGCTGAGATGGTAGTAAAGTTTGCTCCCACTACAGTTGCATCAGACTGGGCTCCTGGAGACATTAAAACTTCCGTCCTGATAGGTTTCACTATCCAGGGAAGTTCTACCACAGCCACATGGTTGGCAGTCACTGTGCTATGCCAGTACCAAAAGCCTGATTATCACTAAGGAGTTTCTGAGATTCCATGGCTTTCTGGTTTCTCCCCGGACTGAATTCTCACCCCAACCCTCATAAAGAAGACACGCCTTCTTGCTTCCACTCTTATAAGCAGATATTGAACGTGGGTAGTCAAAACTCAGTGTCTATACCCTGCAGAGAACTACCAGCCCAAGGACACCAACAATCAGTTTTGAAAGTTTATCCTACTCACTAATATATGCTGCCACTCACCTGATATGCAATTGTCTCTGCCCCTACTTGAGAACCCTATGGATGGCACAGCCCTTTGCCATGGCCCAAATTGTCTCTACCATGAGGCATCCTTGGTCCTCAACTACCCTCTTCCTCTATTTATCTCTTGGTCCATTGTAAACCAGCTCTTTATTTCAATTTCCTTATTCTATAAATATTCACTCAGTTAAAGCACCAGGCAAAGCTGGTAGACGGGGAGTCTGTTGAAGAGGACCACAAAGTCTGCAATAGTGGAAATTATGGAGATGAACACATAGTCATAAAGTGAGTGGATGTCCTCATCAAGTTGTTTCTAAAATGTGCAAAACAGAGCCTGGCACAGTGGGAACACTTGAATGTCACCATTGTTGTCATTATTATTTTATTCCCATTGGCTCTTTTTTGGGAGAGCATGTCATTGAGAGCTTCCAATCCAGCAGGTGCCTCTCCAGCTTTCTGCAGATAGCTATAGATCCTGTTTAAGTCAGAGATGCTCCATTTATTTTATCCCTTTTTCACATTGGACAGCTCAGTGATACACTCCTGAAGATGGGGTTTTGCTGCAAAAGAAAAGTGTAGCTCTGGAAAATCAGTGGAGGTTACAGTTTCTCATCTTTCAAACACAGAATCCACACCCAATCCTGACCACCGCTCATGGGATCAGGTAAAGCTAAGGGCAGCCACCTTTGATCAGGACAAAAAGATAAGGAACCTGTGGTCTCCACTTATTTGTTTGTAAAAGCCCTTCTTTTTGAAGCAAAGCTGGAAGTATGAAAAATTGACAAAGCATCCTCCATATTTTTATAAACTCAGAATGTTTTCACTTGAAGTTGAACTTTCATATTTTTTAAACAAATGTAAAAATTGATCTTTTTATATTTCACCTAGAAAACTGAATAATCTGAATTATCAAGAATATTTTTGTTTTATTTTTATTTTATTATAAGTAAAAACTTTGCAATGGAAACTAAAATAGTACATAGAAACATTTTGTAAACTATAAGATAATTTGAAAACATTAATTATATGTTTTTCTTTCTTTTTTTTACTTTAAGTTCTGGAATACATGTGATGAACATGTATGTTTGCTACACAGGTATACATGTGTCATGGAGGTTTGCTGCACCTATCAACCCATCATCTGGTTTTTAAGCCTCGTATGCATTAAGTATTTGTCCTAATGCTCTCCCTCCCATTTCTGCCCACCCTCTGACAGGCCCTGGTGTGTGATGTTCTACTCCCTGTGTCTGTGTGTTCTCATTGTTCAACTCCCACTTATGAGTGAGAACATGAGGTGTTTGGTTTTCTGTTTCTGTGTTAGCTTGCTGAGAATTGTCATTTCCAGCTTCATCCATGTCCCTGCAAAGAACATGAACTCATATATTTTTATGGCTGCATAGTATCCCATGGTGTATATGTGCCACAATTTCTTTATCCAGTTTAACATTGATAGGCATTTGGGTTGGTTCCAAGTCTTTGCTATTGTAAATAGTGCTGCAATAAACATACATGTGCATGTGTCTATATACCCAGTAAATTAGGATTGCTGGGTCAAATGGTATTTCAAGTTCTATATCCTTGAGGAATCACCACACTGTCTTCCACAGTGGTTGAACTAATTTGCACTCCCGCTAACAGTGTAAAAGCATTTCTATTTCTCTGCATTCTCACAAGCATCTGTTGTTTCCAGACGTTCTAACTGACATGAGATGAGATCTTGTGGTTTCAATTTGCGTTTCTCTAGTGACTGCTGATCACAAGCTTTCTTTCACACGTTTGCTGGCCATAATGACCGCTGATAATAAGCTTTTTTTCACACGTTTGTTGGCCATATAAATGTCTTCCTTTGAGAAGTGTCTGTTCATATCTTTTGCCCACTTTTTGATGGGGTTGGGTTTTTTTTTCCATGTAAATTTGTTTAAGTTCCTTGTACATTCTGATTATGAGACCTTTGTCCAATATGTAGATTACAAAAATTTTCTCCCATTCTGTAGGTTGCCTGTTCACTCTCATGATAGTTTCTTTTGCTGTGCAGAAGCTCTTAATTTAATTATATCCCATTTGTCAATTTTGGCTTTTGTTGCCATTGCTTTCGGTGTTTTAGTCATGAAGTCTTTGCCCATGCCTATGTCCTGAATGGTATTGCCTAGGTTCGCTTCTAGGGTTTTTATGGTTTTAGGTCTTACATTTAAATCTTTAATCCACTTTGAGTTAATTTTTGTATGAGGTGTAAGGAAGGGGTCCAGTTTTAGTTTTCTGCATATGGTGAGCCAATTTTCCCAACACCATTTATTAAATAGGGAATCCTTTCCCATTGCTTGTTTTTGTCAGGTCTGTCAAAAATCAGATGGTTGTACATGTGTGGTGTTATTTCTGAGGCTGCTGTTCTGTTCCATTAGTCTATATATCTGTTTTGGTGCCATTACCATGCTGTTTTGGTTACTGTAGACTTGTAGCAGAGTTTGAAGTCAGGTAGCATGATGCCTCCAGCTTTGATCTTTTACTTAGGATTGTCTTGGCTATGCAGGCCCTTTTTTGGTTCCATATGAAATTTAAAGTAGTTTTTTCTAATTCTGTGAAGAAAGTCAATGATAGTTTGATGGGAATAGCTTGAATCTATAAATTACTTTGGACAGTATGGCCATTTCAAGATATTGATTCTTCCTATCCATGAGCATGGAATGTTTCTCCAGTGTTTGTGTCCTCTCTTATTTCCTTGAGCAGTGGTTTGTAGTTCTCCTTGAAGAGGTCCTTTACATCCCTTATAAGTTGTATTTCTAGATATTTTATTTTCTTTGTAGCAGTTATGAATGGGAATTCACTCACGATTTGGCTCTCTGCTTGTCTATTATTGGTGTATAGGAATTCTTGTGATTTTTGCACATTGGTTTTGTATCCTGAGACTATGTTGAAGGAGCATAGTCTCAGGATATGAAATTCCTTATCACCTTAAGAAGTTTTCTTATAGTAGAACGTTTTATAATACTTTGGATATATACCCAGTAATGGGATTGCTGGGTCAAATGGAATTTCTATTTCTAGGTCCTTGAGGAATTGCCACACTGTCTTCCACAATGGTTGAACTAATTTACACTCCCACCAACAGTGTAAAAGTGTTCCTATTTCTCCACATCCTCTCCAGCATCTGTTGTCTCCAGATTTTTTAATGATCGCCATTCTAACTGGCGTGAGATGGTATCTCAATGTACTAGGTATATATCCAAAGAATTATAAAACATTCTACTATAAGGACACATGCACACGAATGTTCATTGCAGCACTGTTTACAATAGCAAAGACCTGGAACCAACCCAAATGCCCGTCGATGATAGACTGGACAGGGAAAATGTGGCATATATACACCATGGAATATTATGCAGCCATCAAAAATGATGACTTCGTGTCCTTTGTAGGGATATGGATGAACCTGGAAACCATCATTCTCAGCAAACTGACAGAAGAGCAGAAGATCAAACACCACATGTTCTCACTCATAGGTGGGTGTTGAACAGTGGGAACACATGGACACGGTGGGGAGCACTACACACTGGGGTCTGTTGGGGGGAAAGAAGGGAGGGACAGTGGGGGGTGGGGAGCTGGGGAGAGATAGCAAGGGGAGAGATGCCAGATGTAGGTGATGGGGAGGAAGGCAGCAAATCACACTGCCATGTGTGTACCTATGCAACAATCTTGCATGTTCTTCACATGTACCCCAAAACCTAAAATGCAATAAAATAAATAAATGGGTAAAAAAATAGTAGTTGCATGTTGAAACATCCATTAAAAAAAAAAGAAGTTTTGGGGCTAAGACTATGGGGTTTTCTAAATATACAATCATGCATCTGCAAACAGAGACAATTTGATTTCTTCTCTTCCTGTTTGAATAACCTTTATCTTTCTCTTGCCTGATTTCCCTGGCCAGAACTTCCAATACCATGTTGAATAGGAATGACTTGAGAGAGTATCTTTGTCTTGTGCCAGTTTTGAAAGGGAATGCTTCCAGCTTTTGCCCATTGAGTATGATATTGACTGTCAGTTTGTCATAAATTATTTTGGGATATGTTCCATCAATACCTAGTTTCTGGAGAGTTTTTAGCATGAAGTGGTGTTGAATTTTATGGAAGGCCTTTTCTGCATCTATTGAGATAATTATGTAGTTTTTGTTATTGGTTCTGTTTATGTAATAGATTACATATATTGATTTGTGTTGAACCAGTCTTGCATCCCAGGGATGAAGCCAACTTGATTAGGGTGGACAAGCTTTTTGATGTGCTGCTGGATTCAGTTTGCCAGTATTTTACTGGGGATTTTCACATTGATATTCATCAGGGATACTGGCCTGAAACTTTTGTTGTTGTTGTTGTGTCTCTGCCAGGTTTTGGAATCAAGATGATGCTGGCATCATAAAATGAGTTAGGGAAGGGTCCTTCTTTTTCTATTGTTTGAAATAGTTTCAGAAAGAATGGTACCAGCTCCTCTTTGTACCTCTGGTAGAATTTGGCTGCGAATCTGTCTGCTCCTGGGCTTTTTTTGGTTGGTAAGCTATTAATTACTGCCTCAATTTCAAAACTTGTTATTGGTCTATTCAGGGATTTTCTAGTTTATTTGCATAGAGGTGTCTGTAATATTCTCTGTTGGTAGTTTGTATTTCTGTGGGATCAGTGGTGATATCCATTTTATCATTTTTTATTGTGTCTATTTGATTCTTTTCTCTTTTCATCTTTATTAGTCTAGCTAGCAGTCAATTTATTTTATTAATTTTTTTCAAAAAAAAATCCCTGGATTCACTGATTTTTTGAAGAGATTTTTGTGTCTCTATCTCCTTCAGTTTCACAATGACACCCATTATTTATTTCTTGTCTTCTGCTAGCACGATCACCCCAGGTCTTCAGACAGCTGTGCTAGCAGCAAGAATTTCAAGCCAATGGTTCTTAGCTTGCTGGGCTCCATTGGGAGTGGGACCTGCTGAGCGAGATCACTTGGCTCCCTGGCTTCAGCCCCCTTTCCAGGGGAGTGAATGGTTCTGTCTTGCTGGGGTTCCAGGTGCCACCAGGAAAAAAAATTCCTGCAGCTAGCTCCGTGTCTGCCCGAGCAGCCACCCAGTTTTGTGCTTGCAACCCAGGCACCTTGGTGGTATAGGCACATATCCTGGTGTGCGGATTGCAAAAACTGTGGGAAAAGCATAGTATTTGGGCTGAATAGCACAGTCCCTCATGGCTTCCCTTGGCTGAGAAAGGGAGGCTCCCCGCTCCTTGCATTTCCTGGGTGAGACAATGCCACACCTTGCTTCTGCTCACCCTCCGTGGGCTGAACCCACTGCCTAACCAGTCTCAATGAGATGAACAATGTATCTCAGTTGGAAATGCAGAAATCACCTGCCTTCTGCATTGGTCTCACTGGGAGCTGCAGACTGGAGCTGCTCCTATTTGGCCATCTTGCCAGATCACTCCACCAGGAATATTTTTAAAACAAAGTAAATACCACCATACTCCGGGGGAATTAAAAAAACACACACACACATTTGCTCTCTGCCAAGAAGCAGCAGCATGGGGTTCATAAATAGTTGGATTCCTAGTAAGGATTCTGGCCAGTTGAAAGTTGGCTTTAAAAACAATGGGCCCAGAAACTTTGGGAGAACAGAACTTTGTCTCCGATAGCCTTCTTAGAGTTTGGATTACCATTAATTATTCTCCTAAAGGGATAAGAAGTTTTTGTAGGAACAGTGTGGAGATCAAAATGGCCTATGATCACCAGAATGTTATGTATCCAGCCCCTATGCCCCTTGTGCTGTGCTTGTCTATGTGTGTTATAAAGACTCAAGTCCTACAGAGTCAGGAATTATCCTTCCCTTTAAAATCTTCCTTCTTTGACAAAGCTCCATGCATTCCAGAGCTCTCAGCCATGACTGCAGGAAATCCAATTCTTTCCCAAAGCATTCCAGAGGGCACCGAAGGTAGCTTAATTTTCAACCAACGTGGTGCCTGTCCGGTCTGCTTGTTTCCTATGGATCACCTTAGTCCTGAGCCTCTTCTTTCCATAGCTGCAAGCTTTTGTGTACCACAAACCATGCTCCTTTTATTCCCCAAGAACAGCTAGTCACAAAGCTTGAAGATAACAAAAGGGGAATATAAGACATAACTTAAAACTGCAAACTAGAGAGCAGCTTCTTTCTACTCCTGGTATCACCCAACCCTCCCTTCTGGTTTTTCCCCTCCTTCTTCTGCTCTGCTGCCCCCATAGTGGGGTCCTTTCCCCTTTTTTCAGTTGGCATTTCTGGATGACATGTTCTCCACTCCTAGCTAGCAAAACCAGATTCCTTTATGGCTGTAAAAATCTCTGCAGAGGTGTTTATTTCCTGAACTCATCCTTTCTATCATTAAGCAAAGTAACTGTATTGTGTGCAGCCCCTGAGAGCTCATGTGTCACTGGTGCCAGGCCTCCCTACCATTGAGGACCGCAGCACTGTCAAGTTCTCCAACTCTCCATGTGTCATGCCCAAGTGAACAATACCACCGCTGCCCCACTCACCCACCCATTCCCAAAAAGTGAAAGATAAGCACACAAACAGGTGACTAGTGTTGAAGTAATCTCAGAAACATTTGCATTCAGACTACTTTCCCTTAGAATTTTCTCCTCCCCACCCCATCAAGAGTGGGCATGTGCTTTACTATATCAACAAGACTAACAAGGCTCACCTGAGTGGTCCCACTCAAAGAAGAGATTTCAGTTTCTACATTAAAATGCAGAAACTACTACAGGTTAAAAGAGAAACACACACACTTTAAGAAACTCTCCCCTCCTCCTCTTCAAAATGTGGGGTATGCATTCCAGAGCTCTCAGCCTGATGGACAGCTTGGAAGCAGAAGGAACTATTGTCCAGCAAGTGGCCTTTGCCCCATGTCCATTGTGCCTTGCGTATTCCCATCCAACTCAGAACTCCTCACAGCCAGCCCCAGGACTACTGCTCACGGGCTCAGGCAAAGGTGGGAGTAGCCAGGGTTTGACGCTTGGGAGACACTCAAAAATATCTGTTGGACAAACAAGTGAAGATGAGCCCTGAAACTTTCTAGACGGTCTCTGTCCCATTGGGTTCAAACCAGTAAAAAGCCAGAGAAGGGTCTTTCTGTCCCAAACATAAGCAAGAGATGGATGAGTGCTTTGTGCAGAAGTTACTAAACACTCATAGGTGTGAAGGAGTTTTTTGTTAATCAAACAACATCCAGTTTGTTTAATAAAAGATTAATATGGTCCATGAGTTCAATGTCATCTTCAGATTAAACGATTCACTAAAACATGGATGGGTTGGTTTGCAGCTACAAGGAATAAATACACTTTATAAAATATGAATTCCTGGTACTAAGGTTCTGCTTCAAAGGAAGGCTCAACCTAGACCGCATAATGAATAGAAACTGAAGGAAGAGATATTGGGAACTCAACTGATTTTCGGGCAAAGGAGTGTGAGAGGAAATGGGGAAGAAGAACTAGGGATATCAGCTTCATTCTGGTCATGATTCACAGAAATAAGTGCAGAGGGAAGACAAATCAGATGCCCAGACTGCAGTGTTAGGAGACAGGAGGCTGTCATGTTTAGATTGCTCACAAAAGGATGGAGGGTAAAAAAATTGAAGAGTTTCAGTGAGGGTCTATTTTCTCCAAGTAGGAGAAAAGCTCATGGGAAATCCCAATGGACCTTATCTGAAACACTTTGAGGGTTCCATCTTGCTCTCTTCCACATTCTTCATATTTTCTAGGTATTTCTGGAGGCATAACAGAACCCTTCTCCAGCTTTTTTGGGTGGCTTCAGCTCCCAGTTGTCACTACAGTCCCCAGCCATAATTTCAGATCTTCCATCCTTCAAAACAAAAAAATAATTCCTTTCTCTCCCTCACTCACACAGTAGAGTTCAACTGGTTAAACTTATCGAATTATTTTAAATATTCACCTAAAATCAGTGAGACTAGAAACTTCACATTTTAGGGTAATGATGAGGTAGAAAAGCAAGCTAAATTGTCTTATCGATGATACTTTTGATAGAAGATTTTTAAACAATAAGGAACAAAGTTGATGTATGATTTTAAAAAGAAAGTATTTCCTGGGATATGTGTTCCTGGATTAAGGTACAGTGGGCCCTGAATAGCAAGTCACAGTTTTTCCTAAGGTCCTCGTCCCCTGAGCTACACTGTGGGTCGAAAAGGGCAGGATTATGATAAATAGAAAGAAACTAGAGGCATTTTAGTTTAATAAAAAGAACTTCTGGAAAAAGACTTCTTCGTTACTGGAAATATTCAAGCAGAGGTTTCTGGGATGTTTCTGATGGCATTCAAGCATCAGAGACCAAGGTCAGCCTAAGAAACAACCAAGGCCCCTTCCTACAAAAAGAGTAAAATTAGATCCATATACGAAATGCCTAGTGCAGTACCTGGCGCATAAGAGATACACAGATACCAGGTCCTTCCCATCCCGAGAGTCTGCAGGTCTATGATCTTATATATTGGATGTATTTCTGGGTAATTGGATACATTCTGGATTCTTCCAGAAGTTCACAACTTTCATAATCGGAGCCGTTGAGAGCAGGCAAGGCAAGGAGGCACGTTCTTTTTGCTTGTGTCGGTAGCTCTTGCTCTAGCCGGAGTTTTCATCGCCTTCAGGCAGTTATTGGTTTGGGCTTTATGCTACCCACCACAGCTGAGATAACTGCTCCTGCAGCCTTCGCTCCTTCCATCAGGGCGTGCTCTACCTGCAAAGCGCATCAGTTCACAGGACAATCAGCACCAATCCTAGGCTGGCACCCTCCCCCACCTCCTCCCCACCATTCAGCAACCAGACTGCCTGGAGTCTATTCCTATGAGAAGAACAGTCCGGGCTATCCTACATTTTCAAAACTCCTAGAGTGACAAGAGACCAAGAAAAGCCAGGATTGTTGGAGACAGACAACCTCTTCCTCCCTGTGTGCCATTTGGCCCAGCGTCTGCCTCCCGTGTGGGGCTCAGAGGCAAAGGATCTCACAGTGTCATAGCCACTGAGGCCCTCATTCCACAAACAGGGGATCCCAGAGCCAGGGAGCAGAACTCACTTGGACAGAGCCATACAGTGAATTCCTGTCCAAACTTAGCTCTTAGGTTCTTGGGCCTCATGAGTCCTGGACCCAGGCTTCTTCAGAGGGCTTCTTGTAATGCCCTCAGTCCTTGGGGTTTTCATGTACAAATGCTCATTGGGGTGGGAGATTTCTCACATCAGGGCCCACTGAGCCCCTGACACTAGAGCAAAGCCTCACAAGAATAGAGTGCAGGCCAGACGTGGTGGCTCACGCCTGTAATCCCAGCACTTTGGGAGGCCGAGGCAGGCAGATCACGAGGTCAGGAGTTTGAGACCAGCATGGCCAACACGGTGAAACCCCATCTCTACTAAAAATACAAAAAAAAAAATTAGCCAAGCATGGTGACATGCACATGTAGTCCCAGCTATTCGGGAGGCTAAGGCAGGAAAATCGCCTGGAGGCGATTTTGCAGGAGGCGGAGGTTGCAGCAGTGAGCTGAGATGGCGCCACTGCACTCCAGCCTGGGTGACAGAGTGAGACTCTGTCTCAAAAAGAAAAAAAAAAAGAATGGACTGCAGGCTGGAGAGGACGCAGACCACAGAGGAGGAAGGTGCAGAAGTGAAGGACACAGCAGGGAGGCTGCTCATGCCCACAGAGGCTGGGCTGGCAACAGCAGAGGCCAACACTGGAATGTGAGCCCACTCTGCTTAGACAACAGAAGAAACGTAGGGAAAAAAATAGAACAATTATGTTCCTCTTTTAATCCTTAATGTTTTTCATCTCTTTAAAGGGGGTAATAAATACTTTCCCTGCTCATCTCATGGGGTTTTAGTAAGGATCACCCATTAACGTGAACAGACCAAATGTGTACGAATATTCAGGATTCAAAGTTCTTCCACATGCCCTGTACCACATGTAATTTATTACTGCTCTATGTGGCAGGAAGTGACAGAGCCAAATGCTGTACAGGCCAGGGAGGAGATGGGAGTGAGGCAGGTGGATGACACGCCTGCTTGGCCCGTATGCCCTGCAAAGCCACAGCATGTCCCTACAGAGTGTCAGCGGGTAAGAACGATGGCCCAGTGGCCTCATCAATTGTCAGTCAAAGAGAAGCTGAGGACCGGGTGTGGTGGCACACACCTGTAATCTAGCACTTTGGGAGGCCGAGGCGGATGGATCACCTGAGGTCAGGCGTTCAAGACCAGCCTGGCCAACATGGCGAAACCCCATCTCTACTAAAAAATACAAAAATTAGCCAGGTGTGATGGCACACACCTGTCATCCCAGCTACTTGGGAGACTGAGGCAGGAGAATCGCTTGAACCCAGGAGGGGGAGTTTGCAGCAAGCCAAGATCACGCCACTGTACTCCAGCCTGGATGACAGAGCAAGACTCTGTCTCAAAAAGAGAGAGAGAGAGAGAGATAAAGAAAAGCTGAGAAGCTACATCTTTCTACATAAAATTTCTATATTTTTAAATACTGGCAGGTAATTAAAACAAAAAATGTGTGTGTGGGTGTGTATCCAAGGTATGGCCCACAGGGTACCTGTTCGCATCTTTGGCAACAGAGTACCTGCTTCTGCTTATCCCTGCTTTGTTAAGGAAGAAATGGTCTTTGGCCAGGCACAGTGGCTCACACCTGTAATCCCAGCACTTTTGGAGGCTGAAATGGGAGGATCACTTGAGCCCAGGAGTTCAAGATCAGCCTGGGCAACATAGCAAAACCATCTCTCTACAAAAATATTTTTAAATCAGTTGGGTGTGGTGATGCATGCCCGAAGTCCCAGCTATTCGGGAGGCTGAGGCAGGAGGATTGCTTGAGCCCAGGAGGTTGTGGCTGCTGATTAGCTACTACACTTCAGCCTAGGTGACAGAGTGAGACCCTGTCTTCAAAGAAAGAGAAAAAAACAGAAAGAAAGAAAAGCTTTCAGAAATACAGTGAATTGACCAAGGAGACTTCTCTAGTTAACAGTTGAGCTGCGGCTCCAACCAGTGGTCTTACTATTAGCCCAGTGCCTTTTCTATTCCTCCCTGGGTTAATCAAGGTGAAAATACCTCCTGAACCATAAAGTCCTGCAGAAATAGAAAGCCTTACTAGTATAACGAATAACATGATGAAGGCACTGATTACCATTCTGATCACTAATGAAATAACAAACCCCCAGAAAGCTCCGGAAGAAGCCATCATCAGAGCAAATGGGATCACACCTGCTGGCTCCGGGGTACACCGTATCTGAGGCCGTTGACAAAGTGCTCGCAGTTCCCTTCGATCAGGCTGTACTGCACGATCTTGTTGACCATCTTTTTTGTACGCTGCATGATCTCGTCCACCGGCAGGGGCAGGTACGTCCCATCGAGCTTGTTATTGACCTTCCAGGAGCAGCCATGCAGCACATCCTCCAGACGACTGTACTTCACCACGGCCCGATTGCTAAAGATGGAAGTAATGCTGCCCACCTCGAACTCCTCACCTGGAGACCAAAGACAAAAATTGGGAAGTTCAAGGAGTATCCGAGCAGAGCAGAGCACAGTCTAGGGCTCTGAGGAAGCTGCTTCCCCTGGGGTCTCGTTGGCACCATCAATAAAAGGGTGGCAGAAGAGGGGGAGCTGGAGCCAAAGAACCGCAGAGAATCAACTTTCCTCAGAAGCCCTTTGCCCTGTGCTGTGCTTCCTGCCCTCATCCTCCATGGGAGTCTCTCTCATTAAACTCTTGGAGAACCTTACCGTGTGGCCCCAAACTGTGTTGCACGCACCTGCCTAAGTCCTAGGATTTGAGTCTTGCTTCCTAAGCAGAGTTCAGTAATCTTCACAAACATGTAAAGAGTACCCTCTATGTAAGTGTCAGCCCCTGGGTAAAGGGTGATCACGTACACGATTACGGTGTTTCCACGACACGCTCCCTCTGGGGCTGCCACAGGAGCACAGGGGAACAGAGTCAAGTAGGGCTCTGAATGGCACCTACTCCCCCCAGCTTCCACCTACAGCCACTTGACTGCTGCCTCTACTCAAATACGGGGATTCTCATCAAGGGTATGTTTAAAAACAGGATTCCACAGCTTTGAGAAATGTTCGAAAGCTGCTTCATTGTCATATTCAGCCCTTAGAGGAGACAGAGACTCAAAGAGGATCAGAAACCTGCCCAAGGTCAGGTGGGTGGTCATTTAAAGCCAGCACTGTTTTTCTGCTACAACCACGTGGATATGCAGATGTGCACACCCTCCCCTTTATAAGTTGTCCAAGGACAAGAAATGTTCCATGATCTTTTCTTACAAATTTGAAGAAAATCTGCTGGTTTTATAAAATCTGGCAGTAAATAATTCAGCATTCAGGAGCAGAAATGGCAGAATTCCTTTTCAGAGAGAGCCACATAGGGGCAGGGGAAGACGTAACTGATAAGTATCTCTGCGGTTGTACAACAGGGAAACTCCTGGACTTGGTCTGGAAAGAAGCAATGGATTCCTATGTTCTCTGAGTAGGTTCTGAGACAAGAAGTGGGAAGGGTACGAGTAGAGGGGGCAGAGAAGAGAAGCGATGAGAAGGGACTCTCTTCCCTGAGGACCTCCAGCATGGTGAGAGACTGGGCCAAAGGAAGGGGACAGAACACAGGGGTGACAGCTGAGAACAAGTTGGGGCCAAAGGCCTTTGGGGCCTTTGCCCTTCTGTAATTCAGCTTTGAACTGGCAATACCTACATGGGAGATAGCATTCAAAGGGCATTCATGGGTATTCAACAGGGTCCCCCTACCCCTTCCTCTGCCAACCCCCCAAGCCTCACCAGGCCCCATCTCCCGAGACAACCATTGTGACCAGTGGTTCTAGATACCCAATTTTAAGTTGTTCCTCATTCTGCTGTCATCTTCCTCTACTATCATCAACTCCACCCCATCCAATCTCCACTAAGATTTCATTAACACAAATTTGATCTCAGCCATATGTTAAGACAGCTGTGAGAAATGAGAAGAGGGCTGTATCTACATTTAGAGTGAGACAGCACGGAGCGTGTGGAACAGCAGGGAGACAAGGTGAGGACGCAGGTGCCAAAGGTGATCAAGAAGCCACAGGCAGGGCTCAAGGACTATAGAAAACAAATGGCAATCAGAACAGGTAAGCGTCTGTGTTGTCCTTGGGGAATCCTCAGGAAGATGAGGACGGATGCTTAACTGCTGTCAATACAAAACGGGGCTCAAGTTCTAAAATGTGTGTTTTTAAACAAAGGCCCCTCTAGGAGGTCAGGGAACTTAGGCCACACTCTTTACACTTGTATCACTCTTAGGGCTGGACACTCAGTGGGTTTTGGAGAACAGAGACCAAACTGTATCACACAGTAAACAAAGGTCCAGTCATGCTTCAAGGGGTCCCATTGCTAAAGAATGGCAATGACTGAGGAGCCCAGTAATTAACTGTGCTTCCATTTACTTGGCTAACTTCAATATCAGTATTTCAATAGAGTATTCACTCTTACTCGGAGGAGCCAGATGGACCACGCAGTCATCTTCTACATAGATGGCCCAGTGCTCATAGCCAATTCGAAAAATCTCAATCAGGTCTCCAGGTCTGGGTCTTGGTTTTCCCTACAATGGAAAGGTAAAAGATAAATGGCACATGCCCAAGGAACTCCAGACACCTTGTTTTAGGATCAGGTACAGCTCAGCCTAAAGATCCCCTCAGTGTGGTTCATCACTTCACAGAAACCCAAGCTAAAGAAACACCTCTTCACACCAAGGACCGAAGCATTCCCCCTCTCTCCTACCACCAGTCACATTACTGAGGCCATCAAGGATACCTGTGCCGGTTATTAATGTGCTGCCTCTCGGCTCTGAATGTACCCTCCAATATATACCCTGTGATAAATGACTAAACTGTAAGCATTTCTTCCCCAAAACAAATAAGATGTTAAACCTTCTCAGTAGAGGGTGCCGGAAGGACATTGCAAGAGAAAGGGGCTCTCCTGAAGTTTCCGGTGAGGGAGGGCAGGATGGTGGTCAGCAGTGTGGGTGTGTGGACATCTAGTAGAGTTCTGCCTCAGACCCAGGATCCTCAAGAACCCCTGCCTCTGCTGGCAGCCTGATTCCCTCAGCAAGTCCCCCACATGGCCCACCTGAAGCCCAGAGGGTACCCCCATGCTCTGCACACCCACACCACCAGTTGCTAACAGCCACAAATGTGTGTCCACATTTGTATGTGCATGTCTGTGTGCACATCTGTGAGTGTGTGTGTGTGTGTGTGTGACAGAGAGAGAATGAGAATATAAATGAAAAGGTAGGCGCAGAGCTGTAAATATGATGAGCATCCATCTTTTTAAAAACTATTTGGCCAGAGCTCCAGGTCTCACCTTCACTGCTGTGTTCTCTTCTCCTAGACGCCCAGCTTCCGTGGCCCTGTGACCTGCAGGTTTCTGGGAATCCATAGCTAAGATGCTAGGACCCCTTGGAAGCCTAGAAATGGTATTGCTGTCTCTAAGCCAGACCTGATCACCTATCTGGAGCAAAGAAAAGAGCCCTGGAATATGAAGAGGCACAAGATGGTAGTGAAACACCCTGTTACGTGCTCTCATTCCACCCAGGATCTTTGGCCAGAACAGGGTATAAAAGATTCATTCCCAAAAATGATATTAAAAAGATACAGAAAATGTGAACATGAGAATTTACCATTAAGGAAAGACTGTAAAAGTGTGAGGGGTGAGTATAAAGTACGCAAAGGAGGTCATAATGGACTTAATGTCATTAACCTGTCAACTACTCAGAGCAAAGTATTTTAATGTAATTCATGTGTGAAAGTCTTTAGTAAATTTTCAAATTCAAATACACGTAAGACATGACATACTGGAGAAAAATCTATCAAATGTAAAGAATGTGGCAAATGGGCCAGGTGTGGTGGCTCGCACCTGTAATCCTAGAACTTTGGGAAGCCTAGGTGGGTGGATCACCTGATGTCAGGAGTTTGAAAGCAGCATGACCAGCACGGTGAAACCCAATTCTTTACTAAAAATACAAAAAATTTAGCCAGGCTCGGTGGCGCACACCTGTAGTTCCAGCTTCTTGGGAGGCTGAGGCAGGAGAATCGCTTGAACCCAGAAGGCAGAGGTTGCAGTGAGCCGAGATTGCACCATTGCACTCCAGCCTGGGCAACAGAGCAAGACTCCATCTCAAACAAACAATGTGGCAAATTATTTCACATGCTTTCACACCTAACTCAACGTCAGAGAAGTCATAGGAGACAGAATTCTTACAGATGTGAAAAATGTAGCAAAGCCTTTAACCTGTCCTCAGCCCTTATTAACATAATTCACACTGGAGAGAATCCCTACCAATGTGAAGAATGTGGCAAAACCTTCAACCAGTTGTTAACCCTTCTTACACATAAGTTAGTTCATACTGGAGAGAAACCCTACAAGTGTGAAGAATGCGGCAAAGCCTTTAACCACTACTCAACTCTTATTAAACATGAGAGAATTCATACTGGAGAGAAACCCTACAACTGCAAAGAATGTGGCAAGGCCTTTAACTGATCCTCGAACCTTAACGAACATAAGAAGTCATACTAGAGAGAAACCCTACAAATGTGAAGGATGTGACAAAGGCTTTTAAGTGCATCTCAAGCCTCACTAAACATAAGATAATTCAGACTGGAGAAAAATCCTACAAATGCAAAGAATGAGGTAAAGCTTTTAACCAGTCTTCAACCCTTATAAGAGATTCATACTGGAGAGAAACCTATGATTGAATATGCCAAAGCATTTAAAAGGTCCTCAAACATAAGATAATTCATACTGAAGAAACCCTACAAAATTGAAAAATGTGAAAAAGCTTTTAACCACACCTCATACTTTTCTAAAGATTCTAAAGATAAAGGAAATTATAGTTGTGAGAAACCCTAGAAAAGTGAAGAATGTGGCAAAGCCTTTAAATGGTTGTCACACCTTACTGTATGTAAGATCATTCATACTAGAGAAAACCCCTATACTTATAAATAATGTGGCAAAACGTTTACTTAATGTTCACACTTCATTGCATAGGAAAGCATTTGTACTTTAGAAAAATTGTACAAATATAAAGAATGTGGAAAAGCCAATGCTATCTGCTCAAATCTTACTCAAAATCAGAGTTCATACTTAAAGCATTATAAATCTAATTACTGTAAAAAAAAAAAAAACTTTCAGAAAATATAAGCCTTTAAAGTGAATAAGAGTATTTATTCTGAAGAAAAACATTGCAACTATAAAGGAGATTGTAGTGCCATTACTTGTATTACAAACCTTATTGCACACATTTTATACTAGAGGAAAACACCAAAGCAGCTGCTCAAACCTTGTTGAACATCAGAGAATTTATGTTGGAAAGAAACCCTACAAATGTAATGAATGTGGAAACACATTTGTTTAAAAACTCCAGCTTGGGCCAGGCACAGTGGCTCATGCCTGTCATTCCAGCACTTTGGAAAGCCAAGGCAGGCAAATCATTTGAGATCAGTTGTTCTAGAGCAGCCTGGCCAACATGGTGAAACCCCATCTCTACTAAAAATTCAAAAAAAAAATGGCCGGGTGTGGTGGCAGGCACCTGTAATCCCAGCTACTGGGAGGCTGAGGCAGGAGAATCGCTTGAACCCAGGAGGTGGAGGTTGCAGTGAGCCGAGATCGTGCCACTGCACTCCAGCCTGGGTGACTGAGTGAGACTCCATCTAAAAAAAAAAAAAAAAAACTCCAGCTTGGACAACGCCAGAGAGTTCATACTAAAAGAACTCACATTTGCAGATGCAGCAAGTGTGAAAAAATATTCAATCAAACATTGTCTAATAAACATGAGGGGATTCACAGTAAGAAGTAAGGTACTGACACTTCGTATATTACACTAAATCAGAGTGTTGAGTACAGAAAATAATTCAAAGCGAAAACTGTCAGATAATTTATTTGTATATAACTTTAAAAGAAATGCAAGACTTTTTTGAAGAGGTATTATTACAAAGTATTGGTTTTTCCTTGAAAAAATTATAGTTTTTTGAAAGCAAACATAATTTAACTCTCAAATTACTTCACGCTCTTCCTTCATTCCTATTGTTTATGTGAAAGCATGTGATCCATTATTGTTGCATCAGATCTATGAGAGATTCTTTTTCATTAGGTGGGCATTATTTATGACCTTTTCCATGGAAAAGTAAGGGCATTGAAATGTAACGGTGAAACCCTATCTCTACTAAAAATACAAAAAAATTAGCCAGGCATGGTGGTGCATGCCTGTAGTCCCAGCTACTCAGGAGGCTGAGGCAGGAGAATTGCTTGAACTAAGCAGGCAGAGGTTGCAGTGAGCCAAGATTGCACCATTGCACTCCAGCCTGGGTGGTAGTGTGAGTCTCCGTCTCAAAAACAAAACAAAACAAAAAGGTACACAATGAAAATCTAAGTGGAGAAGCTCTTTGTGGTTGACCTATAACTTTGAGTGAAGCAAGAGGTAGGTGTTCAGAGTAAACATAACTTTTACATGCACTGGGAAACCAAAAAATGTGTGTGACTCACTTTCTTGCAATATTCATTTTATTGTGATGGTTTAAAACCAAACTTAGGATTTTCTACATACATTGAATAAATGTGATGAGAGTGGCCATCGTTGCGTTGCTAGATCTGGTCTCTTATCATTAAACATGTTAGTTACAGATTTTTTATAGGTGCCCTTTTTCAGGTTGAGGAAACTCCTTTTGATTGAGTTTCAGATAATTTTTTTTATCGTGAATAGCAGATTTTGTCAAATGCTTTTTTCAGAGGTATTGAGAAGATCATATGATTTTTGTCTTTTATGAGCATGATATATTTCTGTATTACTTTTTTTTTTAGAGGAAGTCTTACTGTGTCGCCTTTGCTAGAGTACAGTGGTATGATCTTGGCTCACTGAAACCTCCACCTCCTGGATTCAAGCCATTCTCATGCCTCAGCCTCCCAAGTAGCTGGGATTACAGCCATGCACTACCACTCCCAGCTAATTTTTTTGGTTGGTTTCACCTTTTTGTCCAGGCTGGTCTGAAACTCCTGACCTCAAGTGATCCGCCTGCCTCCACCTCCCATAGGGATAATAGGCACACACCATCAGACTCAGCCTTGGTATATTACATTGATTGATTTTGGGGTGTTACATCAAACTTGCATTTCTGGGATAAATCTAAGTCATTGTGTATAATCCTTTTTATATACATGCTGGATTCAGTTTGCTGACATTTTTCTGAGGATTTTTACATGTATGTTTATAAGAGATAACAGTCATTTTTTGTGGTTTTTTCTTTTTTTGAGATATCTTGACTTTGGTATCAAAGTAATGTTGGCCTCACAGAATGAGTTGGGAAGCATTTCTTCCTCTATTTTCAGAAAGAGTTTGTGAAAGATTGGTAATTTTTCTTCTTTAAAAGCATGGTAGAATTCTCAAGCAAAGCCATCTGGGCATGAGCTCTTCTTTGTAAAAAGATTTGTATTTACTAATTCAATTTAGATTTTCTAGTTTTTCTTGAGCCAGTTTTATAATTTGTGTCTTTCTAGGAACTTACCCAATTCATCTTAGTTGTCTAATTTGTTTTCATAAAGTTCCTCACA